CGCTCTGAGGATCCCCCGGCGGCGCCGCGGGCCCGGCGGCGCTCCGGCGGCCGACGTGCAAGTGCGTCTTCGGCCGCAAGCCCCTCCTCGGCGGCGATGAGGCCGCGGCGGTGCCACCGCCGCCCGCCGCGCCGCCGCCGCCTCCGCCGTGGCGCGCGACGGCCGAGGCCGTCGACATCGAGCGCCTGCTCGCGGCGAACCCGGCGCCGCCGCCGTTCGAGGACTCCGTCGAGCTCTGGTGGGTATTTCAGCTCCTCTGGAATTTGCAAACGTATTGTCGTAGGCGCGACGACCTCGACCCCCACTCCTTCGCCTTCTTCCGCGTCCGCGTGCGTTTCGCGGGAAAGTTCTGGGTCGCGTTCTCGCGGTTCTTCATCCGCGTCAACGGCGTCCTTGCGCGCGTGCTCGACACGCGCTTCGTCGGCGACGAATCGCGCGTGCTCCGCGAGCGGACCTGGCGCGAGGGCGACTGGGAGACGTTCGCGGGGCCCGGCGCGCCGCCGTGCGTCGACTTCGGCGGCGTCGGCGACCAGCTCGCCGCGAAGCGCCTGCCAGCGTCCTGTCGCCGTGACGATGTTCGCGTGATTTGGGGTGGGAAAACAATGAGAAATCGTCACCGTCATGCTTGGTAGGCGGCTGCCGCTCAAGTACAGGCACACGGACGAGCTCGCGCTCCCGGACGCGCCCCTCGAGCCGTCGGCGCCGGCGACCGTCGCGCCGGCCTGGCGCTTCGACGGCGCGGGCGAGGCCGTCGTGCCCGCGCGGCGCGTCGCGCTGGTCGTGCTGCGCGACGGCGGCGGCGTCGTCGCGCTCGACCCGCGCACGGGCGCGGAGCGGTGGCGCTTCCGCGCGCGCGCGACGGCCGCGGCGGCGGACGGCGAGTTCGTCGCCGCGGGCCTGGAGAGCGGCGACGTCGTGCTCTTGGACGGCGGCGGCGCCGAGCGGCGCCGCTTCGCCGCCGACAGCGCCGGCGTCTCGCGCGACGTCCGCGCGCTCGCGTTCTGCGGCGGACGCGTCGCGGCGGCGACGGCGCGCGCCGTGACCGTCGCCGACGCCGCGACGGGCGCCGTCGTCGAGCGCGTCGCCTGCGACGAGACCGTCAACGCGCTCGCCGGCGGACGGCGCTTCGCCGCGGCGACGCGGACGGGCGTGCGCGTTTTCGGCGGCGGCGACCACGCGAGCCGGGGCGCGGTCCTGGCCGCGGCCGCGTCGGGCGACGCCGTCGCCGCGGGCTGCATCGACCGCAAGGTCCGCGTCTTCTTCCCCGGCGGCCGGCGCCGCGAGTGGACGGGCTTCTCGTCGGCCGTGGAGCGGCTGGCCTGGAGCGCGTCGGGGACGTGGCTCGCGGCCGTCGGCGGGCGCGCCGTCGCGCTGCGCCGGGACCTGCCGCCGGGCGAGGCGCCCGTGCGCTGCGCCGTCGACGCGCCGCTGGACGTCGCGTTCGACCCCGCGCGCGAGGACCGGCTGGTGGTGGGCGCGCGCGGCGGCGTCTTCGTCTTCGACCTCGGTCGCGCGGACGACGCGGTCCCGCGGCTCTGCTTTCCCGTCGCCGCCGCGCCGCCGGCGCGCGCCGTCGCGTTCTGCGGCGGCCGCGTCGTCGCCGTCGGAGATGACGGCGCCGTCTTTGGGGTTGACGTCGATTAACTTGCCTTCATGTTGTTGATTTTGCCACAGAGAGCATGGACATGAGCTCTTGCGACTAGAGCGTAGCTGATGCATTTCGCTGCTCGCCGCGTCGCCGGCGCCGGCGCCGCGAGCGCTGCGCTCTGGTACGTCGCCGCGCCGGTGCAGGAGGACCGGCGCGCGCAGGAGGAGGAGTCCTGCCGCAAGCTAGGGCTCATGCTGCCGACCGAGGCGCAGCGCACGGCCGTCGCGCGGATCCCCGGATTCCTCTCGGCGCGCGAGTGCGACGACGTCCGCGACGTCGTCCGCGGCCTGAAGTGCGCGACGATCGAGCGGTCCGCCGGTGCGTGCCGTTGTCCCCGCTCCGTTTCCCGGGCGCACACCGACGCGCGCAGGCGGGCAGCACGTCTTCATGGGCCCCTGGACGACGACGTACTTGCACACGGACGACCAGTTCCGCCAGCGGCTCGGCGGGCTGCGGAGCCGGCTGCTCGCCGCGGCCGTCGCCGTCGACGGCCGGGAGCGCTGGGGGCAGCTGGACGAGACGGCGGACGTCAACTTCCGCACGGCCGAGTGCGTTTTTCATCCTTTTTGCTCTCTCGACCGCGCCGTCGACCACAGGTACCACCAGTACCAGCCCGGCGGCGGCCTCCGGGACGCGCGCCACTACGACGCCGGTTCGTTGATCACGATGGACCTCATGCTCGCGGCGCCGGGCGCCGACTTCGAGGGCGGCGCCTTCGTCACGCCCGAGGCCGACGGGTGCGTTGTCGCCTTTCTTTTGGTCGAGAACGCAGCTCCGCAGGTCCGTCGCGAGGCACGCGTTCGACAAGGGCGGGAAAAGAGTGCGAAATTCCCAAAGGCTCCTATCTCGGCCGTTTTCCACTCGTTTTGGCTGATTTTTGGACGAGCGATCATCTCTTGGAACGGTTTCGAAGCGTGCATGTATGTTTCGGAACGCGCGCGCGCGGAACACTCACGTTGAAGCGACATTGAATCTCTCTTTTCCCGCCCAGGTTCGACAAGGGCGACCTCGTGCTCTTCGTGTCCCACAAGTACCACAACGTGCGTGAGCTTCGTTTTACCGTTCCTCACCGCGCCGCTTCAGGTCGAGCCCGTCACGAGGGGCACGCGCGTGGTGCTGGTGGCGGAGCTGTGGCGCGGCCCGGAGAAGACGTGCGCCCACCGGTGCCAGACGCTCGGGGCGTGCGGGCACTCGCTCGCGCACGTGCGCGCGGGGCGGGCGGCGCTGGAGGCGGGGGTGCTTGGGTAACAATGTTGGTTGCCACACCGTCACGGGCTTCGTGTTGTTTGCGAAGGCTCTTACTACCGCCGACGCGCAGCGCCACAACGTCGTTGTTTCTTACTACCGCCGCGCGCGCCGCCACACCGTCACGGGCTTCGGCAGGAAGCGCACGGCCCAGTACTGGACCGCGCCCTTCGCCGCCGCCGCCGCCCGCCCGCGGAGCAGCACGCGGGACCCGGCGACGACGACGCCGTCGCGCTTGCCGAGCGAGATCGCGCAGACGCTCGGCGGCGGCGCGTAGGGCTTCGGCGGCCGCCGGCCCCGGGCGTGCCGCGCGATGCACGCCGCGGCGTACTCGCCCTCCTCGGCGGCGTCGACGGCCGTGCGCTGCGCGGGCGGCTTGTCGGCGACGTCGCCGACGACGTACACGCGGCCGTCGAAGACCGCGTTCCCCGCGCCGTCCGCGAGCCGCCAGGAGTCGTCGACGGCGACCCAGCCGCGCGGGCCGACGCAGCCCGGCGGCAGGCCGTCGTCGCCGAACGCCGCCGACGGCCGCAGGCCGCGGCAGTCGAAGACGGCGTCGCCGCGGAGGTCGCGCGCCGCGCCCGCGGCGTCCCAGGCGCCGGCCGCCGGGATCGCGCCGTTGCCTGTGGACGCGAGGTCTTTGCGTGTTCAATCTTTGTGCGTTCAAAG